ATTTACTGTTTCATACCTAGTTAGGAATTTTATTTTTAATGCCAGCTTGTTTCCAATATGATTGTTTCTCTTTCTCGCCGTTAGATGGCGATACAAGTGACAATGTTTACGTTTTTGATTTGTGTTGCAATCATAGGACCTACCTACACTGCTATTTGTCAAAAAAACACGTCGTAGAACTGATACCACCAAACAATGGACATTAGTTATAGGCATACGATAAGAACGATTATACGCACATTTTGATAATTATATAATAATGAATTTAGAGAATTAAAACCCATTTTTTCCCGACAGACCACAGACTCTGGGTAGACGTGAAATGACAAGGCATGCAATAGACATTGCATTGTATAACTAAAGATCTCGAATATCCGGATTATCCATGCGTAGCGGCGACTCTCTGGGTAAGAGTGTGTAAAAAACTAACGCGTGCAACTTAAGCTGCTCTTAAAATTGCTACAACCAAACTTAAAAAAGCGAATTCTATCTTTAAGTTTAGTTTCAATGATTACCTCCTACAATTCTGCATGTGCAGAGTCGAAGGCATCGTTTCAGTTGATCACGATTTTTTTTTTTTTTTTTTTTTTTTTTTTTTAACGGACGTATTTTGGTGCATGTTTTCTTCTTATTCATTTAAAAAAAAATGATTTAAACTTTTAGAACTAAAAATGAATAAATAACATTCTGCATGTATTAAGCACAAAAGCTCGTTTTAACAGTAAAACAAGAACTTAATGAGTCGAAAAATTTAACGGTGACGAATCGATAAAAAAGCTCGCCAAAGAATATGGAATTTGCGTGCAAATTTTTCGTCAAATTATAATAATAATAAAAGAAGCTAGAGGCTTTTCACAAGAGAGCGGGATTACGCAGTAGATCTTTCTAGCTGAAAAGGTATGATGTGGTGTGTATTTAATTATGGCAAAGCACACTAGGGCTATCTGCCTAAGGGAAGGGATGCCTTCATGGAGGACTTTCTAAGGAAAACTGGCTCTTATACACGTTACACATGAGGAAATCCACGAAAACACCCATGCAGCCATCCCGTTCGCGGGATTCGAACCTCTGACCGAACTCCCAGTGTTCAGCGACTTTACCGCTCGGCCGCTGGTGGGCTGAAATGGTATGAAATGTTTAGGTAAAACTCGAAAATTTTTATTCAGCTGTTTTGACAGAGTTAACCAGAAGTGAGCAAAATCGCCAATCAGCGGTCAAATCTGCATGGAAAAATCTAATTTTTACTTTCTTGCACAAACCAAAGGAAGTACTGCAATCGGGAAAATTTTGGGGTACCACGTTTTAATGGAAATATCTATTTTGAAAGTTCCCGAACCCATTTTTGACAATTTTTCTGATTGACATCTGTATGTACGGACAAAATAAAGCAGGTTTGGTTTTAAACAGATTGGAAAATTTGGTTTTAAACAGATTGGAAAATTGGTTTGTTTTTAAACAGATTGGAATTTTTCGTGACGATCCTACGTATGTATCTCTCATAACTAAAAAACGATTAGCCGTACAACATTCGAATTTGGTATATGAGACTGATGTAACATCTAGTTGTACAATTCCTTTTTTTTTTTTTTTTTTCTTTTTGCAATCGGCAGTACCAAACGACAATGTAATACGTAAGATAAAAAAATACGTAAACATACATATAATTTAAATTAGCAATAGCCCCTTAATGCTTAATGTTAATTTACTTATTTCCTCTCCCTGTTCTACAAATAGTACACTTTTTTACACTGCATCACTTCAAGACTGATGTCATGACTCTGACGTAACGCAGGTGATGTAAATGGAACTAAAACAACCAATAATAATTTTTCAGCAGTATTTATGATCCAATCAAATGCATCGAGAACAAAACTAGCTCATTTTGAATTAAGATTTTCCCCGAACACAAGTTATATGCTTTCTACACTTCGGTCAAACTAGACTGCCGCTTGCTGCTCGTTTCTTACAGCAAAACTATCAAAAATATAAACGTTTAGAAATAGGCACGAGTAATGCGCAAGCTGTTCATGGCCGCAATATGTTTCTTAAAATAAAGATGAATATTTAATCTGCCTTGGCTATCCAATTTGCTCATCATAATGGATCAACAACATTTTTTTTTCTAAGCCCCTTGCTTTCATCACACACACACGTATGTATATATCCATATATCCATATGGGAAAAGAACTGAATTTTATATTTTATCAGACTTTTAAAATAAATTCTGTTTGAAAATAAGTTGGATTAATGTTAAGTGGTTTAAAGTCTCAGGGAATTCAATGGAACGAAACATTTTTTCGTCACTCACTAATCAACTTGGTTTAAGGGGGCTCATACACCTTAAACCCCTTATGTGCTTCGCATTATGTGACTGTTGCAAGAATTGAGATAGTTTATTTATTTTAAAAGTAATTACCTCCAACTTTTTACAGCTGACTACATAATATAGCTGCTTTGGAAACTAGTAACCAGAAAGTTTGTGTTGCCACAAATATTTTTTTTAAATTTAATCAGCTTTGTGATAAAATTTTTCGTCATGTTTCCACCTTGCGCGCATGGTATTTTAGAAATGGCTAATGGTACATACTTGAAATTGGATGGAATTCTTTATATGGGCACTATTTTCTAACTGAAGCAAAAATCTGACGAACATTTTAATATTAAAAAAATTTATGCACGAAAACATTACAGATTTTTTTATTAAAATACATTTTACAAACTCTACTCCAAATAAAATAAAACTTTAACATGAAATTCTCAGTTTTTTGGTTTTACAGTAGTTTCCAAATGTTATAAAAACCTATATATAAAACTATGGAATTAAATAAATGCAACAGATAAATTTTAAACTGTGCGCGCAAGGTGGAAACATGACGAAAATTTTTGTCACAAAGCGGATTAAATTATAAAACTATTTGTGGCAACACAAACTTTCTAATAACGATTTCAGAAAGCAGCTATATTATGTAGTCAGCCATAAAAAGTTGGAAGTAATTTCTTTTAAAATAAATAAGTTATCCCAATTCTTGCAACAGTCACATATTCGAAGATCATAAGGGGTTTAACGTGTATGGAGCCCACTTAAGGCTTCAAAACACTTTCCCCTTGACAAGTTCTGTTTGAAGCGTTAAACAAAAAGAGGATAAACATTTGTTTTTGTTGTTTTATATACAAATTTTATGTTTCTATATAAAATTCCTCCTTGAAGTGAACATTTTTTTATTACAATTTCGTAATTTTCTTTAATTTGCCTTTTAACAGTTTATAATGTAACTCGGAGAATTTAGGAAGTACCTTCAAAATATTTAATAAATAATTTTATTCTTTTTCTTTCCAATTTTTTTGAATTATTTTTATATACATGTACAGACACACGCTGGTGTATCATGTTTTTTTCTGCCATTTGAAATAAAAAAAAGACATGTGCACAACTAGATGTTATGGTTATAACAGTCCCATATACAAAATTTCAACGTTATGCGATTAATCGTTTTTGAATTATGCGAGATATATAAATACATACGTACGAGAACGGATGTCATGAAAAATAAATCCCTTTTGAATCCATTTTAAATTCATTTTACAATCTGTTTTGGTTTTTACATTTGAAAACTCTCAGTTGAATTCTTGTATTTTTGGTCACTTTGAGCGTTAACTTTCAAATTTGTGAATGGAAAATTTTGTTTTTTTTACTCGCTGGACAAATTGCTTGCGTTTGTGTAGAAATTTTAATTGTAAAAGATTTTAACTGCATTTAGTGCTTTAGAGTTTTCTGTATTTTACAATTTTTATCGAAGTTGTTTGGAGATTTTATGACTATTTGCCTTGCCACGAAGTGAGAACTGATTTGATTGAATGAAAAATATGAAGGGCAACAAAAAATGTGTATAATTTATTAGGCCGCACAGATGGTGTTCACATCAGATATTTTATACAATCTTCAAGATCAACCCATGCTTTCTTACACCTTTTACAATAAACATTTTGTTCTGCCTTTAGACTGTGTCGGGACAAAGGTATAAAAAATAGCATGAAGCAGTAGAACTATGAACGCTTGAACCTTGAGTTGTGAAATATTTGCTTCGATTTTCATAGCCCCTGGTTAAAGCAGAAATTACTAAAAACATGTTAAGTGCCGTTCATAAAATTTTGTTTTGTTCTGTTAATTTTCTTGGATTATACTTTACATTAATGATCATTCCCATCAATTTGAGTGTTCTATGAAAGTTGGATTCGCTCTCCCAATTGAACCATGAAATCTCTTGAACCACCAAATCATCATACAGATTTCTTTTTCCATATTTCCGCTCACCAGGGGACGAGCGGTAAAGTCGCTGAACACTGCTAGTTCGGTCCGAAATTCGAATCCCGCGTATAATATTTGATTTCCATTATTACAACTCGGAATATAAAATAAACAGAAAGAAAATTTCATGAAAAATGTTGTATGCTTTAACAATAGATTGTTAAATTATTAAGAATATTATTACGAATTTCGAATTTTACTGAATCTAAATTTTTGTTTAATGTCTCTATCAAAAGCTTTAAACCCACCAGCGGATCGAGCGGTAAAGTCGCTGAACACTGGTAGTTAGGTCTGCGGCTCGAATCCCGCGATTATGTTGGCTGCATGGGCGTTTTCGTGGTTTTTCCCATGTGTAACGTGTATACGAGCCAATTTCCCTTAGAAAGTCCTCCAGAAATTCAACCCTCCCCTTAGGCAGATAGCCTTCGAGGCTTTTCCATAATCCCACACACATACATTTTCCATGTTTCCTTTTCTATGCATTATATCATTAATTTTCTTAATAACTTTTCTTTGAGTTACAGCTTTACTTTTATGCCAAGAAACTGGCAATGCTCTACAAATGTTAAAATTTCTTACAATTTTGTAATTATTGAAAAAGCTGCAATTTTCAAGCATATTTCACCTAAGAGACTTAATAATAGTAATTAAGAGATGGTTGAATCATAAACTTTAGAAGAGACAAAACAAATAGTAATTGCAAATATAGTTTTATTTATAGACTATAACATAGGATGGAAGGACTGACAAGAATGCTTAATTATCAAAAGCACTGTAACAATGAATGTAACAGTACAAATGAAACAGTACAAATGTATGTAATGTCAACAGTATAAATGTAGCAGTAAAAACAATCTTGTTGTAGCACCCACGTCTTCCACAACACATATAGGTGACAAACCTTCTATGGATAATACAAATTTGATATTTAAAATTACAAATAAACGAGTAACAGAAACGTAACAAAAAAGTTCTTCAGATAACTGTAGAAAGATGCACAAGATCATACAATACAATATTCATGTATCTCTGCTTTTCAAGCACCCTTCTGCTCAACATTTAGTTCCAAAGTACAGTCCGTCCGTCTATTACTAGGATAAGCACCCCACAGTTCCTTTAACCCCTTAGTACTTGAAGTTCCTAAACCACTCGGACGTCAGCTGTGTTCCTGTACAATAAAGGTGCTGCTCTTTCAATGTCTTCTTCTGTCAAAAAGTTGAGTTTGGGATCTCCAGCGTAGATTCTTTCATTGATGCTATAGAAGCTAGTAGCCTGTGGACAGGGCACGGCATCTTCGGGATCAGAGCAAGATAATGTTAGCTGGTTGAAGACAGTCTGATTGCTGCAGAGGAAAGACCATTGCTGAGTATTCCTTGAACCATCCTCCGTCTCGACAGAATGGCAGACGTGGAAGATTTGGCAGTTGTTGTCTACATCGGCATAATAGCCATCGTTGAAGCAAGAGAATGTTGTTTTAACTGGCCCAATTAAGAGGTCGGCACCGTCAGGGAGAGCATATGCCTCACGTTTTGCTCGCTGGAAAAGAAGAGTCCAATTCCCATTACTTTGCAAGAGTACTTACTCATTGCACGGAATTACAAATTTTGTAAATCCTTTCATTTTTGTAGAATATTTTTAATAACTAAATGAGAAATAATAGTTTCTATGCCTATTTTATTCAATTTTATGCCGAAGCTGAAGCATATTTACCCCAAAGGGCGTTAGCCCAGAAGGGCTATTAATTTCAAAACGTCATTTTGCGTTCCATTCACTTTTCAAACTGTTGCCAACAAATTTTATCGAAATAATAAAGAAATTATTAATAATCGATTAATAACTAAATAGTAATGGAATCGGAAATATTTAACGTATGTTTAACACAAAACGTTGCAAGTACAAAATAAAACTGTCTACAAAAGTTCTTAAAATTCGGGAAATGTTTGAAACAAACTTAGTTTCAGTTACAAATTTAGAATATATGTGCATGAACATGTAATAAATATATGTATATAGCATATATAATATATATAAATATATGTAATAAATTGAAAAAGAACGCAGATAAATGTGGAATACATAGATCCATGATGAGGAAAAACTGTCAGCCTTGTCACAGACATAAAACACAGACGTTGTAGATTTAAACAGTATTTATCCCAAAGGGTGTTAGCCCAGAAAGGCTATTAATTTCGTTTTGGGATTTTGTGGGGTTTCGCTATAAACAGCATTTCACTTTTCAAATTGTTGCCACCAAATATTAGAACCATGTAATTATATTTAAAAGAATTAAATAATGAATCTGCATGAATGTATGTATGTTTCTCGCACTGTGAAAACACAACGGTACCTAGAGACATCTAATTTTGAATAACGTTCGAATAATACATTCGAATAAGGGCATCTGGAAGCGCTAATGTGGAATTTTAAACTTGTTTTATTATCGATTTCATATTTTGTAACACTTTAAAGAATTTTTGATTAACAAACTCAACGATTTCAAAGCGAGCAATTCCAACACTGTACTAAAAAAAAACATTTTTATCGCCAGCGCGCGAGACTGTGTATCGGAAATTCTAAAGCTATGCTGCTTTTAAATATTTTGTGATATTGCAGATGAATTGAACTTTATGTGGTTTAAGTGCGATATTTTACGTGGTTTAAGAGCATGGTATTTAATAAAAAAGAGGTTACACACAAAACGTTAAAAAACGTCCTGTTGTGCATAATATAAAATCTGAAAGCTTTGAGATTTTCGCTTTTTATGTATTATTGCATTATTTTATTTTTCTTTTATTTTAGTCAAACATTTGTGGCCACATATAACTTTGCACACTAACTGCGACTGCTTCAAACGTTTATTGGTTAATAATTTTGGAAGCAATGCGGTAAGAATAGAAGCAGCAGACTAACTTGGCCGTGGAGCAGAAACGAAATGCGTTGTATTAAAGGGCAAATTTCAAATGCCTTAATTTCGATATAATTTTTATCGGCTAATTAATAAAGCTCCGAAATTATTATTCGTTGTTCTAGTTTTAGTTCGCAAACCCATTTACAACACGAAAGCTATGAATTAAATGATGCAGTCCAGAAACGTTTATTATAAGCAATTACTATTTTTAGAATAGAAAGAGGAAATACATAAATTAAAATGACTAGCTAAGGAACTATTTCAAATTTAAGTTGAATTCTAATTTACGTATTTTTTAACTTACTATATAATATTTTTAATGATTAAATTTGTTAAATGACTATATTCCAATAGTCTTTTCGTTATGTTAATGATTTTTGAGATATTTTCAAACTATACTTGACCTGTATTTTAAGGTATACACCTTACCTTGGGGGCTGCATATGATGCAGCTAGGATCATAGCACCTGTAACAAAACGAAATAATCATTTAATTCATTCAAACATAATTCTAAATCTGTGTCTGCTAGCCTACTCGTTATAAATCAAAATAATGTTGTGCATAAATAATCAACTTACTTAAAACAAGAAGCTTCATGATAATGCCTTTTGTCTAAAATTGAGAGAGCTGTAACGTAAAAGAAGATTCTGGAACTGCAGAGAAATATGATTTATTTGTTAATATTTTTAGTATTTATTTAATTAAGGTTAATACAGTTTCAAATTTTAGATCATGGGTAATGTCTAATATGGTGCAAAAAATATAACAAATTGTAATAGCCTATTATTTGTAATTTAATTATGCTAAACAGAACTAAATAGAAATATGAGCAAATGGAAATTAAAATACATAGGCAAACTGAAATTCTTTGCTTCCCGTTTTCGGAAACATAAGGTAAAAGGCAGCGGATACGTCTTCAAGAATGTCAATTATATATTGAAATTTGAAGTTCAAAATTCCAACCAAATTTCTTTTGAATAATACTAATTTTATTTTTCCGAAATGCCCAGCTGCGAGAAGATAACTTCTCTGCAAAGCGAAGATAGGGTTGCCAGATGTGGCAGAAAATTGCCCATTTGGCGGCAAAATCGGCGATCTGCCATAGACGAAGCGAGAACATTCTAGAATGAATTCTTACTGGTTTTCCCGAGAATGTTCTCGAAGGCAGGTCAAAAGCTATAAATACCCTGCCGGTACGCGGAATACAGTATGTTACTTTAGTAGTAGTATCTCGTGTGCAGAGATTAGGTCTAGAGTAATCGACCGAGTCGGAAGCTGTACTTTCGTGCTTTGCCGTAAAGCTGTCTTCACCGTTACAACCTGATAGCTGAAAGCTGTGTTGCTGATTGTTTCAGCGTGTTTACTGTAGTTTTTCGACGGCTGTAAACGTGTCTTTGGAAATGGCGTGTGTAATACTGACGAATAAATTGCGTTTTGATTTTTCATCAAGTGTTGTCATCAATCACTATAAATCCACGAACCCGTAGAATGCAGCAATATTAAGCCTTTTTTCACTATTTCCTTGCATAATTTCGAATGAATGTAAAAACAAAATTCAAAAACAATTTAAACTCACACTAACTCCTTACGTAATGATAATGCAATGCGTTATGCTTGATCATAAGTTTTGTTGGAAAAATCATATTATGTATTTATCCAATAAGTGTGAAAATACACTTAGAGGACTTAATGTCTCCTGCAATACTTTTGGCTTAAAATCTAATGTTATTGATATGATTTATAAGCAGGGTATTGTCCCCTTTATTTGTTATGCTTCTAGTGTGTGGGAAACAGCTTTAGAAAAGAAGATTAATTCTCGTATACTTCGCAGAATTCAAAGAAAAATTTTACTAAGAGTTGTGCGTGGCTACAGAACAATTAGTTATGAAGCCTGTTTCGCAATTTCAGGATTTCCTCCGATTGACCTTCATGTTTTAAATGACAAAAAGTTTAAGGATACCATCAGCAAATTTATGTTCGATACCAAGGTGTTGTTTGAAGATCTTCCTCATCCTGCCAATCGTTTGCTAATTCGAACTATCATTTATGACAGTTCTGTTGATGATAATTTCCCTGTTGTGTGTTATACAGATGGCAGTAAAATTAATAATCGAGTTGGATTAGCTCATGTCGTTTTTCATCATGGTTCTAAACTGGAATACAAACTCTTTAGAATTCCCAAAGAATGCAGTGTTTTCCAAGCCAAATTACTGTGCATTAGTGAGTCAATTAAGTGAATATCTAAAAACTGTTCGCTAAGTGCTAAATTTCTTATTCGCACTGATTCTCTTTCATCCTTATATTCTCTTAGGAATATCTTCTCATACAATAAATTAATTGTCACTTCCCATGCCCTTCTTAAAGACCTTAACAATAAAGGTTTTGATGTTATCTTTTCTCATGTACGTGGCCACACTGGCAATCTAGGAAATGAAAGGGCTGATTGGTTGGGAAAACAAGCTACACATCTTCAAGTAATTACTCCAATGATACTTCCCAAGTCATTTTACGAGAACAAAAATAGGTATGATACAATACTCAAGTAAAATGAACTATACAGGAATTCTACTACTGCCTCTTTGGCTAAACTATTTTTTCCTTTCATTCCTCACACACCGAATAATAAACGCTTTTTCTGCAAATTTTGAAGTTACTCAATTTCTAACTGGACATAGTAAATTCAATTCATATCTCAAGAGATTTAGATTATCTAGTACAGACTTGTGTTCATGCAGTTTCGGGGGAGGGTGCAAAATGTCGAGCATTTGTTGTTCTATTGTTCAAAGCTCAAGGAAGGACGAAAGGAACTCATTTCTAGGTTAAACTCTGTGAATATTATATTTCCTCCCCCTCTTCACGTATTTGTCTAACATAAAATGGCTTTGTCTTTCTTTCTTCTGTAAATTTATCTCTTACGTGTCATCTCTGAATTTGTAAGTTTATTTTATTTTGTCTTGTGTTTTTGTATTTTTTTTTTACTTATCTCTGTAAGCCTTGTGTAATACTATGTGGTGCAAAAGGATTTAAAATTTTCAGTTAAAAAAATGCATATTTATTAATTTGAAAAGCGAATATTTTAATTTGAGAATTTTCTTATACTTCACAAACTTTGTTTTCGCTCTTTTCGACTCGAGGTTTATGAGATATAGCTAATAATCTACAACTTCGAGATACTCAGAAGCGAATAAACATTGGAAGAATAACCAGCAGTGTAAAAATCAAAACTGCGGCAGATGTATTTGTAAAAAGTACTTGCATTTTTTATCCAGTGCGTATTTTTACAGCAGAACATAATAAACCTTTTAGATTCCTTGCACGCTGTGATGATGTGATAATTTCATGAAATATGCGTTGTTTTATAAGCAGGCGAATAAACGTGCGCGGCTTTTTAAGCAGCATATTTATGTGAATATCTCTTTTTGTGCAAAGATATCCACATCTTGTCTAGCAGATTCTAAAACTGTTTTAAGATTATTTACGATCAAATACTAATCTACAATAAAAATTGCAGAAATAAATATATTTTTTTAAAAGAAGAAAGTAATGAAAGGAAAGTACAATCAAAACAACAGATTAAATTCTCTAATGATAATTGTCTTAATATCACCTTAAAGATGTTTTTGTGTTCATTATAAAAACACATCAAAAATTCTGATCCAAGGTTATTCGTGAGCAAACTAGTATTTTTTGTCACAGAAAAGATGGTAGTTAAGTAAGAAGATAGAAATCGATAAAAGGATACAGTGTTGCTCTTTTAAATAGTAGAAGGTTATAAACATTTAATTAACCAACATAACGTAACAGAATACATTATAGTACAAAATTAAACTAAAAAAAACTTTATAACTCAATATATAAAGAAGGGTTTACATAAGCTGTGACCACATTCACACAAATATTACAAAATACGAGAAAGTTTTATTTCAGGCATATATGCTAGTAAAACAGATCGTATAAATCCCACAGAAATACGCTACGGAATTAAAATCCATTTCTAATCGATTAACCAACAAATGAAATCAACTGTATTTCTGATATATTTGCGTAATTCTTCTTTCTCAGCGAATTCAGAGAAAGAGCTATCCTTAATTTTAAAAAATGGAAATGTTCACGTAGTGATTGTTTTAGGCTTATTAGCAAAGAACCTGCGAGGTTCCCGTCGAAATTTTTTCTTCTAATTGTTGAACGTTACGCCCACCTAACACGACAACAGACCCATCACAGCGACGCAAACGCGAACTGATTTCGCTGTACTATTTTGTCGAGTCAGATGCGCATTTACGTTATCTAATTATTTATACATGATTTGAGGCCTAAAGAGTAGCAGAGACAACAATAAAATGGGCAAGATTCGAGTAAAAGGAAGCAGAAATTTAGATATTGTAATGTTAATATGACTATGTCTTCTTATCGGAATGTAAATTTCTTTTAAAGAAATAATATTGTGATAGTTACTGATAGTTTATGCATGACCATTTTTCATTCGTTATATTCTTCTTGCGTTCTTCGGAAATTCAGTTATTCACGTAAATTCCTTCTACCAATTTCTGAACGATAAAATTAGGAAAAAAAAGACGAAAATTACGTGAGTTAATACGCTACTTGTGATATCATTGTTAAGTTATTTTTTCCCTTCTTTCTGCATGCCTTCGTGGTGTAACGGTAGCACCCTCCGAGGGCATTCAAGAGCTCCAGGTTCGAGTCCCGACGAGGACATTGCTCAGTTTTCCTGTTTTCTACTTCAAAAATAATCTAAAGTCTTTACAATATTGGTAAGAAATCTCTAGGTTAAACACACTACAGATAAAATGGCACTCATAAATCGAAAAACTAAGTTTATATTAACAATTGCGCAAAACAAAGAACTTTTCAAAACGTACGTGCTGGTTGAATGTTGTGAAAACCACAATCGTTCTTCAGAAGATTAAACTACGGTATTCAGTTAATGTTTTCCGATTAACGTTTCTATGATATGAGAACTACCAACTCTGTTAGAAATTGAGTAGCTGAAGCAAATCTACAACAGAAATGCTGAAGACTACAACATTTCAAACAATAGGAAAGATATCTTACCTTAACTCTGCTTCTTGAGAGTGAGAATGGATTGTTGGTGCAGAACTTACTTCGTTTATATACCTTCCTCAGCTGCTTTTCTTCACGTACCGCACATGAAGGTCAAGGACGGTGAATCGTAAATTTTTTCTTCACTGTTGTGACAGGAATTAGAAAAAAATGTGTGGAAACCCCTAATTAATATGCAAATATGTCGGAATGTAAGCTTGTCATGTAAAGCAACCTTTGAGTCTCATCAAAAGTATGACAGATTAAAGATGCGTTGCGACATTTGGCATTGCTGTAAAATCACGTTTCCTTTTCAGCGAAAAATCTCCAGTTCGATAGAAAATTATGCTACCTAAAACAAAATCTCATGTGATGAAAAATAAATGTGTATTAATTTTCATCATTAATGTATTAATAATTGTGAACACTTTTAGAATTATAACAGATTTTTTTATTGATTGATTCTAAATTTTAAATTTTAAATTGATTTTAAATGATTTTGAATTGATTTTTATTTGATTTGATTTTTTCATTCATCAATTTTATTTCCTTTGATTTTTTTTATTCATTGATTTTACAACTTATTTTTATTTAATTTGATTTTTATTGATTTATTTTATAATTTATTTGATTTGATTTTTTATTGATTTATTTTATAATTCATTTGATTTGAATTTTTATTTTTTGATTTTACAATAGATTTTTATTAGTCCAAAGAAGCTTTGTCCCTGAAGGTCAATTGTTTTCGTTTTGCGATTTTGCACTATAAATGTCCGTTTCACTTTTCAAACTGTTGCCACAGAGTCCTGCATTATATTTCAAGAAATTAAATAATGAAAAATCTGCATAAATATATTTCTCGAATTGTGATAAAACAACGGTACATAGAGCCATCAAAATTTGAATAACGTAATCTTCCATATAATATGGGTAGGTGGAAACCCTAATTTAAATATGAAATATAATATGAATATTTTATGGTTTAAGTGCGAAGAACGTGATATTTCATAAATAAAAGTAACAGACAAGATCTTAAAACAAAAGCCTCTTTGGACGTAATTTAAAATCTGAAACCTTTCAGATTTTTTTTTTTTTTTTTTTTAAAATTCATTTTGAAAATAATTTTTAATTTAAACCCTATAATTACATTGTCATTTTATATTTACACATTTATTACGAGTTAGGTGGAAAAACTATTATCAATCTTAATCACTGGTGGGAAAATATTTTTAACCGCAGGCCAAAAAGGTCTTTTTAACGATCTTGGAAGTGACAATCATCTGCGATGCTTCTATTGTTTTTAGCACGCGATGAGAGTGGAAACACGCCTCCTCGTTAGAATTATTTTAAAAATTTGCTATTATAACTAAAAAAAATCTTATGTGGACACCACATGACTTCCTGATACGGCCTATTAGATTATGCACACTACGTTACATTTAAGCCTATTTCCTCGAATTTAGTTGGATATATATTTCTCATTTATTGAATTCATTTCTCATTTCGCGGCAAGGGAAAATACATCTGAATATCTAAAACCTCAAAATGTCTTCATTAAAATTTGAAAAATATAGAAAAATATAAAACACCAAGTACAGTTAAAACAATTAAAAAAAAAAAAAACAATTTTTACAATTCAAGTTTCTATGCAAAAACAAGCAATTCAGCCAACGGGCAAGAAGTCGAATTATTCGGTGAACAAAATTGAAAGTTTACTTTTGGTCCCACTCGGCAAAAAGACACTAAAAGTGCAGAAACCGACGTAATTCACTCTTTAGCTAAGAGTCAGATGAAAATTTAATAGTATGGATGACTCGTACACAATTTCATTTTCAAATAAAAATTTAGAGTTGAATTGTTTCCTTGTTAAAAATATTCATACTCTATGTTTAATTTCTGAATTACAGCTGCTAAAAATGAAAGGCATATATTTTTCGACGAATGCACATGCTTTCCAGCACATCTAGTATTCTCAATTTAAATTGATCGCTTATTTAAATCAGGCGTATACAAGCGCACGTACACTGTAACAGTAAATACGCATTCGATGCTGTTGAACTCGGTAGTTTGTCGGCACATTCGGCTAAGAAATACACGTAACCGTCCTTACACATTTCATTAAGGAGAGATTTTGCGATCAAGTCTTCATTCGCTCCCCGTGCCATCCTTTACCCCCCCCCCCCCGATATTGACCAAAGGTTCCCAAAATAATTAAATTTAATTTTACTGTTTTGAAACTATAGTGCACTGTCGGCCTAAATTTAAAAATAATATAAAATATCTCCATGGCTTCCTTGTTCAGCAATACATTCTTTGTAGCACTTTATTCAAACTTATTTCCTCGGATAATTGTAACTGACTTAACCGATCCCTTTTGGCAAGTTCAGAGTGTCGTCAAAAATTGCAAAATCTAAAAATGAAGTATCCCGGTCAATTTCTGTCATACGGAAGTTAAGAAGCTTATAATTTATTTTTTCATAACGAGTTTCATCTTTTTCAAATAAGTACAGGAACCAGGAGATCGCATTTAAAGTTAGATTTCGTTAATTGTCCAAATTAACTTCAAAAAAATTAGAATAACCCAAACGTGAATATTTTCGTCATTTAAAAGAAATTAAACATTCTATAATGGGTGTACGTGATTACCACCAAGATTGTGAAAGGTTAGGTTAGGTTATTTATTTACGGCAAAGCCTCGAGAGCTATCTGCCTAAGGGGAGGGATGCCTTCGTGGAGGACTTTCTAAAGGAAACTGGCTCGTATACACGTTACACATGGGGAAAACCACGAAAACACCCATGCAGTCAGCCCGTTCGCGGAATTCGAACCTCGGACCGAACTACCAGGGTTCAGCCACTTTACCGCTCGGCCGCTGCTGGGCCCAAGATTGTGAAAACAAAGGCCGGGTAAATTTCGGTATACTCCCACACTTTTATCCGGTTTAAAAGTCCTTATATGTGTACATATATGAGTCTTACCCAGATATATATATATGTTTCGAATTGCATATTGTAATAAAAGAAAGAGGGGTACTTTTCCGTTTCGCCGGCGCAAATCTCGCCAAGCAGACTTTGTTGGCGACAACATAGAATATACAGATAAAAAATGTTAACAAATATTAGTTCTAAAAATTTTTTATTTTGAGGGCATAAACATTCTAATATGGTTTATAATTTTGTAAAAAGCCAATAAATAAAGACAACAAAGACATTAATTAAGACAGTAAATAAAGACAATAAAAGACATTAAGAATTTACTATGCTATCATGGTTCAATATCCTGATTCGCCGGTTCGTATCACGTGACCCTAAGTGATCTCATCTCACGTAAACTACGCTACAAAAATCTAATTCTCTCAGTAATTATCTACATTAATTTCAAGTTAAATCTTAATTTGGAATATAAGTTTAAATGCAAGAATTATTTCAATTCGTACGAATAATTATGCCAAACCGTAGTGCTTTACTTCGCTAGTGCATTCTCATTAGAATTCATGAATTTAACCCTTGATTTTTGCCTTTTCTATATTTTCGTCTTCGGGTGAGCGGTGTGATTGCATCCTAATTTACTTAATTACCGCGAATGATCTTGAGGCATAAAATTTAATTATCTTTGTAAATATTCTATGTAATTGTATGCCAGTATTGAAAGAAACAATCAATCCGGTTAGAAATGGCTGCGACTTGTTTTGAAAACGAGGCATAAAAGGTTATCAGAGAAGAATATTCCGTTTGGCATCAGTTGTACCATTATTGGCGACTTTATCGTTTGCGCCGGCAAAACGGAAAAGTACCGAAAGAGGTTCAAAACTACATGTTAAACAGTCCTATATATAAAATTTCAAAATTTATCAGACATTTGAACCCCATTGACCAGAAAGACTTTAAAACTGGTGCACCAAATTTACTTAAACTACCTTAATACGAATTCATTCAATTGTAAATAAACGGCATCCATTAGGCTTAACGCCTCACTGTGAATTTTTCAAAGTTAAAATCTCATAAAATATTCAGTAAATCTTAAAACAAGCAGCAAAATTATAAATCGGAATACAAACTAAAGCTTATTCATATAAAATACAGCAGAAAACAAGTCTTAAAACCATTTAAAAAGAATAAAAACTTACATATCGTATGCAAATGAGCACGACCAAGCATGAAAATCCTAAGTTTCCTTACATCTTCAAAAATAAAGCACATTACTTGAAAATAAGCACCAATATCTTGACCGGAACTTTCAAAGATCACAAATAACACACTTGCACACACAATAAACCAATATTTACAATAGCATAAGCATATTTTCAGAGAGCCGAATCGCTACCACACAACATAGATGCCTGCATGCATTAACCATTAACCAGTATTAAAGCCACTTATATGTTACATGTCGTCGAACTGTATTAACCAGTATTAAAGCCACTTATATGTTACATGTCGATTGCTTACCAATTTATTTTATTACAGTATTTTCAAAATAAAGAAATTATCTCGATCTACGTACGATTCTATGGGAGTTTTTCGGAAAAATGAAGGATTGCGTCTCTGCAGACTGTTTGCACATTTTTAAACGACTTGCATTGTAATTACAAAAATATTTTATGCTTTAAATATTCTATTTATTTATTCGGTACTATTCGGTTTTGAGGACCGTAAAAAATCGCCAAACTATTGATGTAAGTGCTGCCAAAAATAATTGCGGCAACCCTAACGCAAGAAAAGAAGTCTAATAGTAAATAACTAAGATTGATGTTTTAATTTAGATGAAAGGTTAATTTCATATAATACTTTTTTATTATTATAATTTATATGAAAAAAGCTAAACGTGACTGAATGGAAGCATAAGAGTAAATAACTATTTCAAATCATTATTATAATTTATATAAAAATTGCTAAACATAACTCAATGGATGCCTGCATCGCTATTTCGCTACCGAGTTATCGCTAAAGCATAGTTTCATCTCATTGGTTGTTGAAACATAATTTTCTATAATGAATGATGCCTTTTCTATGGAAAAAATTGTCGGTAAAGTGCAGAATC